AGGAGGACTCATAGATGTTTTTGCCAGTTCCTTTCTCTGAAATATAGTCTACAGCCCTGGTATTTGTGTGTGGTCTCCATAGTGACCTATGTGATATTAGTAACCAAGTATTAATCAAGGCTGACCCTGTTTAGCTTCCAAGACTAGATGGGATCTGATGCCATTAGAGTATTTAGGAACTCCTTATGAACTGATGAACTACATTACTATTAATATTCAAGGACACATTCATGTTAGTCTGCATCAGTATGCAAAGAAATAACCTTTGAGACTAACTGGAAGAAAGAATTTTGTAGCATAAGCTTTCATTGACTGTCTACTTCATCAGATACATAGAGATGCATTACTGTAAATAGCTTTGGATAAAGAGAAAGAGCAAATATAATTGCAAACTATACATTAAAGGTAATAGTTTGGCTGTAAGAGTATCTGTTCAAAAATATTTTGAAATTTCATCGAAGGTTCTCACGAAAGGCTGATTGGGCATTAGTGTTTAAGACCTGTGTACCCTGCCTTAAGGTAATGGGTTGATAGTTCTTCCAATTCGGTTAAAAGCAAATATTTTCTCCTACTCTGATTCTCTGTCACGAATGATAATAAATAACATTGAAAGTGTAGATTTCTGAAGCAGTCTGCTGAAGAAGGTATTTGTCTTGCTTAACACCTTCTGTTACTCTCTGCAAACACAAGCTGTTATAATGACCTTAACATTTTTATATTTTTATTTTTGCTTTCTATTCAAAAGCACTGGGATGTTTATGATCCAGTTGCCTCCCACTTCTTAGCAATACATACCAACACAGAGAAGACTTGTAAATCTGCCATTCAAGTCATAAAAAACAACATGCCAATCTAAGTACTGACTCCCTTCCAACACTTTTATTGTACAAAGAAAGCATTTTTCTCTGATATGCTGGAGAATAATGTATTTCAGAAGTTGTAAGCAGTGAAGGAGACAATAGATGTGGAAGTACATGAGAAATCCCATGAGGCTTAAGGCCAAACTAGACGTTAAAGTAAATATGTGACAGCTACCCCCAAATGGGTAACTCCCTCCGCCTTTTCCATATGTTTACACTTCAGTTGTGTCATGATGCCACATGAATGTGCTGCATTTATCCATCTCTGCTCCACACTGAAAGCTGTGGATGGGGACAAATTGGAGAAATGTGAGGTCTCATTTTGATGGAGTGCAATCAGCTAATGTTGAATAAATTGGTAACTCCAGTTTTAGAGCCAACTAATTTTATATCACACTTTATTTGTACGGTACTTAATTTTTTTATTCATAGCTTTTTGAGGCTGCCTTGTGTTTTTGATAGGGGTGTCAAAGGTGTAGCTGGTGGGTTGTGTGAAATAAGAGTATTTAATTTCATTAGGAATCAGTGAAAATCAGTGAAAATCAGCAAAAACTTGGCTGTTCACCAAGACATTCTTCATTAATTCATCCCAATTACTCTTGTAATTTAAAAACTTTTAAATCTTTTAAATTTGCTTTTAACGCAGTATGATGTTTAATATGTTTTTAACTTATTTACCTGTAAATATGGAAATGGTTTGCAAAACACTTCAAAACCCCTGGGCATTCCATCTCTGACCTCAAAACAAAAGAACTACAAAGGAATTGTGGAAAAAGAAATAGCAAAGTTGGAATGTATCCACCGACTACAGTCCATCAACAGTGGGTTGAACAAAAACAATGGTTTCCTGGCACACTACACATATTTCAACACTATCTACTCCCCATCCTCTTGAGGGCACCCTTGACATCCACTCTCTGTTTCCCACTCTACATTCTATTCACATGGTTATCTAGCCTCCTTGGTTTTATGAAACAGATTTCCTCCTGCCTTTGTTCCACAACCATTGTTAAACTGAACTTGCCACCTTATCTCCATACCCAAAAGATTTTGAAACTGAATTGATATTCTCCCTCACAACCAGCTTATGTAGGTCTGTCTCTGGATTCTGAACTCCAAACATGCATCTGAGGAAGTAGGCTCAAGTCTACAAAGGCTAATGCTACCAGCTTCTTTCTTTCAGTTAGTCAAAGTTGTTTTCAGTTAGTCAAAAGTGCTACAAGATCCATTTGCATACTTTTTTGGTATGGGGTAGGGCATATATATTTTAATAAATAATAAAATAATAATAGAGAATATCACAGACTGGTAGTTTGTAGAATTCAGTTGTTCTTCTGAAAAATAATGTAACAGGTAACTATTATAGCTACTTTTGAAAAATTACAGAATAAAAAAATGCCTCTAAAAATTGTAACTACAATACTAGCTAACTACCTTTGGGGCTTTGGGACTGTAACTATAACTAATTATTAAAGAGATAGCTGAGTTAGTATTTTTCAGTACAAAAAGGGGAGAAGAAAAACATTCTCTATTGATGGAGCATATTGTACTCTATCAATGTATCTGAGGAAATGGAAAGCAATCCATGAAAGTTTCACCCACAATAAATCTGTTAGACTTAAGGGAGCCGCATGACTCATTACCTTTACAAAGTCAGTTTCTAGGATGCTCTCACAACAGACAAACTTTATTTGTTGTCTTAGGTAGTTTGTATTAATATCAGAGTCATTTTCTGTCTCACAGAGTTTGCTCATCATGGAAATGTGCCATCTGGGAATGCAAATAGCCCACACAATATATTAGGCATTTATAAACAAATAAAGTTTGCACAGATGTAATTAAGAAGAGAAAATACAATCCTCTGGGCAGAACTATGATTTACAGTCAAATTTACATACCTTGAGATCTCAGTGTGTGTTTGATTATGTTGCTAATGTTATTACACAAAATGGAACCCAGGACCTTTTCAAGACCTTGCCTTGATAGGTACACATCAGGGTTGTCATAAGCCAGAAACTATTTGAAGGCACACAACAACAACAACAACAACAACATGTACTTTGACTGGGGGTAGGGAGACCATTTTCTGCTCTTCTTCAGTCAGTAACCTATTTTGGGTGGGTCCTCTCCTTGAACTCCTTTCCAAACCTAACTTTGATGGTCATAACTTAGACAGTAACCTATGCCAGGAAAGAAGCAGAGGCATGGATGGCACTGTATGGATGGTTTGCAATTTGGTATTGGATTATATATCTTTGCACTTGGGGATGTTATCTAGTTCCTTTATAGTTGCTTTTCTTGGAGCTAATAAATAATAATAATAATAATAATAATAATAATAATAATAATAAGTTTTATTTATAACCCGGCCCTCTGCTCAGCAATCAGGGCGGCATACAACAGATTAAAAGTACAGCAGGTAAAAGCATTCCATCCTCCCGCCCCTAACCCACCCACCCCTTAAAACAGGATTAAACTATCATAGAGTTAAAATCAAGTTCACAGATAAAATACAGTACAACCAGATTTGGCCTACATAGCAGAACGGCGGGAGGGATAAATAGCAGATCACTTCCAATTTAGCTGGGTGGTTATTCCGGGAAGGCCTGCCAGAAGAGATCCATCTTTACTGCCTTTTTGAAGGCAGCAAGGGTGGTGATAAGACGGATCTCGTCCAGCAGGCCACACCGCAAATAAAACTGGCTTACCTGAGCTGGCTTAAAATTTAAAACAGGTGGCATCCTGATGTTATCAGAAGGATTTAGCCACCAAAATCATCGCCCAGGTCCAGCCAGGTCCATCCCCACTCGCAGGGGCACTCAACATGCCTCTTTTTGAAGCTGGGAGTTTTCTGGCTTAAGGAAATGGTCACCGGAGCAGCCCTGTGAGTGGGGATGGGCCCGGGCTGGACCCAGGCAGCGATTTCAGCAGTTAAATTCTTCTGGTAACATCAGGATGCTGCCTGTTTAAAATGTGAAGCCATCTCAAGTAAGCTGGTATTATTAGCAGTGCGATAATCACCTTTGTCTTCTGATGTATTGAATTGTAGTTTCCATTTTGATTTATGAATGAACCAAGGTACAGGAAATCTTTGACCATTTTGATGTCTTCATCACCCACCTGCAAGTTATGAAAATCATTTGTGGTCACCATTGTTGTTGTTTTTTTTTTTTTTAATATTCAACAGTAATCCTCTTTCTGAATTTTCTTCCTTAACTTTCATCATCAGTCATGCCAAATCTTTGCTATTTCTACTAGGAATATGGGATCATTTGTGTATCATTAATTGCCAATGATCCTTCATTTTTATACATTCTTCCTCTGAATCGAAGCCTACTTTTCCTGTATGTTCTCTGTACAAATTGAACAGATAGGATGATAAAATGCAACCTTGTTTGACCCTCTTGCCAACAGGAAACCATTCTCTATATTCTGTCCTGATAATGGCCTCTTGTCTAGCATGGACAATACATGAGGACTATAAAATGTTTTTATTTAAAAGAAGTAAAAAGATGCTGGAGGCAATACACAGAAGAGTTATACAAAAGAGATGAGGGAATGAATGATATTTGGAATGATGAGCTATATGAAGATGAACCCCAAATTCTAAGCAGTGAAGTCAAATCTCAATAAAGAAAAGGGAAAAAATAAATCACCGGGAGCAGATGATATTCCAATTGAACTGTTACAGTGCCTACAGACAGATGCAACTTTAGTGCTAACTGAAATATGCCAAGAAATATGGAAAACAAAGGAC